AGTTGTGTCTGTTTAGTATGACATGCAGCCAAATTAAACCTGTTATGGGCAAATATAAGTAACTATAGCTCAAGGAAATCTTAGCCATTTACACACTGTAACCAGTTGTGTCTGTTTAGTATGACATGCAGCCAAATTAAACCTGTTATGGGGAAATATAAGTAACTATAGCTCAAGGAAATCTGAGCCATTTACACACTGTAATAGAGCAGCTGTTCATCTTTATTTTAAGCAGAGAGCTTCCCCAACGGCACACAATTGAACAAACTTCAGTTTTCCTGTCTGGTTCATCAAAGCTTCAGACCTCCAATGTCTAACTGTCTGGAATCATGCTGACATCTCCCTTGCCCATGTCTGTAACATCTTTACTTTATCACAGCTGGAAAGAAAATGATAGGGCCCTTTCTCCCCCTCCCCACCCCCGTTCCCTTGGTGAGGAGAATGGCAGCTTCCTTCCTGTCTTCAGTGTCACTACAATCAAAGGACTTGGCTCCCCCTGAGACAGCTTGGGGACAGAGTCAGACCAGGGTGGAGAGGAAGCAGGTCTGACACCCAGAACCCCTTTTCAGGGAGAAGGAAGATTCCAGCTTTTGCTTAGAACATACTAGGCATGATCGAGGGCCTGGAGCTCACCACATTGTAGAGGACAATGGGCCAGCATCACCCAGAAGGGACTTGGGGACACTCAGGAACAAATGACCACCAAGAAGGGCAGTGAGAAGATTTTTTCTTAGCTATGCAGAAGGCTGAGGAACAGTTGGTGGAGAGAGCTATCAAAGTCACTCATGTACCAAGACCCTGTACACTGTATGAACCCCCTCTACAGCTTCTCATGAAGTCAGGTAGGGTCAAACCAGGCAGCTCATGTGTCTTCCCACCACTGCCCATTTTTGGTTAGACTCATGTGAGGAGGCCTGTCTTACAGGGGAGGTGAGCACTGCCTCTGTGTGTCATTTCTACCTCTGGTGGTAAGCAGCAAAAGTGCAGCTCACCTGGCAGGACCTTTTTAATATCTCTTTTTAATGGAAGAGATATTTAGCTTAATGAGGTTTGGTAAACATAGACAAAAAATAATCAAAATACTAGTGGGTATTCTGTAGCCAGTACTATGTACAGTCACCAGATCTTGTAAAGCTGATCTTTATTGCAGTCACCACCTCAAGTTCTACTGTATGTGCAATGATTATCTCCTTTTTGGTGGCCCAGAGAATCAACTTGGGCAAGGTTTACATGGCTGGTACGAGAAAGAGTTAGGATTTGGATATAACTCGACTATAACTCAAATTCTTAATCAGAGTCTCAATGCCTAACCTGTGTATTCTGACACTTAGCAGAGTCAACTGTGGTCCTGACAGTTTAATTTCAAACAAAGTTCCCAGGAAATAACATCAACTACCTTCAAAAAAAAAAAAAAGATGATTTGTAGACCTTCCATAGTGCCCTGAGTGGGGTCAGTCAGTTTTCCCCATGGTGAAGCCTAGATTCTAGTTCAGAGAGGAGGTCTACATGGAAAGTCTTACATGAGTTAGCAGGATTTCATGTGTGTTCTCTTCCCCCACATATATCCCCATTGCTAAAAAAGAGACCCATGAGCTGTGTTTCATCAAGCAAATTATGTTCAGTTTTCAGTATATACATGAGCCACTTATTGGGGAGATGTTCTGGGAAGTGTGTCCCTGGGGGATTTGTCAAAATAGCATCAAAGTGAGCTTAAACTAAGCTGCTAGCATGCAGCGTGACACAATTCAGGGGACCATTACTGTGTACGAGGTCCACGCCTAACCCAAATACTATTATGAACATGATACATGTTAGCATGCTTCGTGACACAATTCAAGGGATCATTACTCTGTCTGTACAAGGTCTATCCCCAACCCAAATGTTATTACAAACATGATACATGACTGTAGTGTGTGTGTGTGTGTGTGTGTGTGTGTGTGTGTGTGTGTGTGTGTGTACAACCTGCTGGAGTGAGTTTTTCCTTCCACCATGTGTGCACTGAGGTTTGAACTTGGGGCATTAGGTTCTGTGGCAAGTGTTTTTACTTACCCCCTAAACCATGTTGCTAGCCCTTCACATTCTTCTGTTGATGGAAAAGCCACCACACAAAGTCTCTACTTTCTCAGCACGAGGATTATAAGGGTGACTTTACCAATGTGGTCTCTCTCAGCTCTTCTTTATTTTTATGGGATAAAATGGTGGCTGCAGAGTTTCAACTTCTATATTTCCAGCTTCTGAAACATTTCTAAAAAAACCTGGATGTTTGAGGGCATGAGGCATTTGGATGCCTGTGGGTCGTGGAGGGGTGTCACATGAGGTGGAGGATGGGAGACTGTGTTCTTTCCCATCATGAGTGTGTGGTTTGTCTGGGGCTCACAGAGCAGGGGGAACTGTCTTTGTTCTTTTCCCTCCAGTCAAAATACCAGGCAGATGTCACCCAGCTCTGGTCCCTTCCCACAGGAACAACAATGGGAGCTAAGGACACAGTAGGTTTTCAGGGCTTCTGCTGCTCAGCAACATTGCTACATGGAAGAAACAAAAGGGAGGGAAAACCAAACTGGCATGTGAAGCCTGGTGACTGGACTTGAGCTTCCTGGATTGGGAAGGAGAAAGGAGCATTGTGCTCCTGTTTATATCTGGGACAAAGCTGGTCATACAACATGGTCCATTCTGGACACTGGCCCCAGGGTGGGCTGAGGACAGCAGAGTAGTGAGGAGCAGGTGGTTGTCACCTTAATACAGAATGGGAGGCATCATGGTCCTGTTAAGTCTCAACAGTTGCCTGTCCCTTGGACACAGTCCCTTGGACATAGCCTAGGCACATTCGTGCCTCAAGCCTGAGGACTTGCTCAGGGTCACCTAGCAAACAAGGGCTACATTTTAGGACTCCTGATTTTACAATCTTTCTCTGTCATTGGTCTGGCTGACATAGAAGGAAATATGTCTAGCTGCTCTGAGAAGTCCCCTGCTTCTCAGGATGAGGTGGACAGAAGCTATGAAGCAGTCCATGCTTAGCACGAGATGTAGCTATGCTCCAGCCAGAGATGGACAGTAGCCTTAGGTTGGCACCCACTAGGAAGCCAGACAGGCCGTGGCACAACTTGGGCAGGAGAGTGGGTCTACCTACCCATGGAAGATCCAGGTGCTGCACTCATCAGCCTTGGTAATGTAGTTCTCAGGAAGCAGCCCAGAGCAGCCGGTGGTCAGTGAGGTGCCGTAAATCCAGCCCTCACTGGTGCTGGTCTGTTCCATGGGAGACATGAAGATGAAGTCCCCAGGAACCAACTCCAGCTCATCATCGTTCTGAGGGGAATAGGGGTAGATCACCTGTAACGTCTGCAAAAAGGAGAGGACACATGAGACTCATCGACCATCCTCTTGAACATCTCAGGTACTAGACCATACTCTATGTATGCAATAGCAAGTGTGCTGCATACAGGGGCACCTGGGTCACAGGCTCTTGGCAGACCTGGTTCCTGATCAGAGAGCACTTCTTCTCTTGCCAGCGTTTTATGGTGCTGCACAACCTTCCAGACCCTCCAGTCATGCTTTCACATCCTGTCAGCACTCAGAAATGAGTTTCAGGGGCTCATCAGAAACCTGGAAGGTTTTGCCAGGCAACTGCTAGATATATAGACGTTCATTGTCCCTGCTCTATCTGCTGTAGCAGGTACTAGGCAGATGAGAATTGTGCAAAGCAACTTGTCTTCTACAGGCTCACGGATGGGCCAGATGGGGAGTTACTTCTATTGGGATGGGAATAAAGCATGGCATTTATTTATTTATTTATTTATTTATTTATTTATTTATTTAGTGTGTGTGTGTGTGTGTGTTTGTGTGTGTGTGTGTTTGTGTGTGTGTATACCATGTCCATGCATGCAGGAGTCCTTGAAGGCCAGAAGAGGTCATCAGATCCCCTGGAACTGGAGTTCCTGTGTTGTGAGCTGCCATGTGGTACTGGGAACCACTCAGGTCTTCTGCCAGAGCAGTAAATGCTTTCAGCCACTTAGGAAGGATGGCCCATTCTATGTGACTCATCTGATGGAACAAAACACAGTCTACACCTTCAAGGCTCTTTCTCCAAGCCTACAATTGTATCAAAGACTTTGAAAGAAAGCTCTTTCTCCTAGATATCAGTGTCTGTGTATGGGGTGGGGGTAAACAGCTTCCACCAGAGCAGATGGAAGCCACATGTCTTTTCTCTGAGCTCAGAATAGGCATGCAGGGCAGACATGAGGCCAGGCCATGTGGCTGATTTATCCTACGTGGTGTGTGTGTGTGTGTGTGTGTGTGTGTGTGTGTGTGTTTCCTTTCTTGGTGTATATATGAGCATCATAACCCTAGACTTTTTTTTTAACTTTAGACGTTTGCTTTGTATTTTTTATTATGAGCAAGAGACCTCAATAGGAAGGAAAATTATATCCTATTTTGTTTCCAGACAGTGAGAAAGGTAGAGGAGGCTTTCACAGTCTTCCCTACGGTCCTAGAGCTGAAGGTGACAGGCTACTGGTTCTCATCTTAGTTTTAAGCTTTAGTCTCCACCAATACTTAGACTACAAAAGTTAAATGTGGTGCCCTAAGAAAATTCTGGAAGACAGAGGCACAGGTACTTCTGGTGGCCCAGGGCTCCTGGTTCCTGACTGATGGCATTCTCTGCAGTTAATCCTGACCCTGGGGCCTGAGGCCAGCACTGGGTGGACCTGTGCACTAGCCAGCTGGTGATGTCAGGGTGAGCCACCAAAACATGTTATAAAGAAAGGGCTCTGCTGCGTGTGGTGGGAAACAGCTGTTATCTTAGCACTTGGGAAGCTGAGAGGGAGGATCACCTTGAGTTTGAGGTTAGCCTGGTCTATATAATGAGTCTAGGCAAGCTGGGGCTACAGAGTGAATCCTTAACCTCAAAAGAAAACAAAATAAAATAGCAAACCAAACCAAATAAACCATTTTCTCCTGGAAATTTCCGAGGAAAAGAGCTTGGAAAATGGCTTCTCTCAGAGAATGAAGCTGATAATGAGTTGATTTTTTGTCTCCCTGGCTTTTCTAATTAGGGTGTGTGCCTTCTGTTTCTAATTCTCCAGTTATCTTTCAGTTGCTTGTTGGTCTGTCTGTCCTCTGATCACCTCCTTTCTCCCTCTCTTGTCCTTCTCTGATCATCATGCAAGCCAAGGGCTCTGCTGAGTTGATTTAGACATTGTTTTAGAAGACAAAACATTACTCACTAGAAACCTCTTTTACAATAAGTTCTGGGTGGTCAGGTGATGACACAGGGGAAGAGAGCACTGCTGTTCCCGGAACAGGATGCAGTCAAAACCCTCTCAGCTAACCGAACACAGCTTAGTTTTGGCTAACAATACCTCTGGCCTGGAAGTTCAGCTTTCCCTTTGAAGAGCTCAGAGAAGTACTCCTTAATGGTGAACATCCACCTCAGATATCCCTGGGGACATCAAGGTGCAAGGAGGCCCGGAGACAATAGATCCTAGGCATACCTTAGAGGGACAGTAAGTAACTTTGATTGACTGAATTTATAACTGAAAAAATCAAGGGAGTTCATCAAATCTAACATTATAACTGGAGGCCGGGGGTGTCACTTAGTTGTGGAGTGGGTGCTCAGCTGCTCTGGGCTTGGGGTACAAACCCCAGCACCAATAAACAAACGAATAATAATCCAGACCCAAGTACTCTCTGCTACTTTCCACCCCAAAAGTAGACACAGCCCAAATCCGAAAGTCATGAGACCTGGGACTAACTTGCAGGCATTGTGCTATTTCATTGTTTTATGTTTTGTGTCTTTCTAAGAATTCTTGAGAGATGGCTCTGCAGTTACCAGAATGTGCTGCTCAGCCAGAGGACATGGATTCAGTTCCCAGAACTCACATAGTAGTTCACAACCATTGGTAACTCCAATTCTGGGGGATCTGACATCCTTTTCTGGCCTCTATGGGCAATGCACACACATGGTACAAAGACGCACGCACACACAGGCAAAAAACCCAGATATATATAAAATAAAAACAATAAATGTTAAAAAAAATTTTGTGCCAAACTTAGTTTTTTTCCTCCCTCAATATTCCACAGAGACCAAACACAGTGACAGCTGACAGAAGAGAAGCTGTAGGTATGTGATTTCTTTGTTGTACCTGCCCTGTACTAGCTGTTATGGTAGCTTTCCATACGTTCCCCATATCCTTGCAACAGCCTAGGAAAGATCTCCACCTTAGAGAAGAGAAAAGAACTGGAAAAAAGATACACTTTATGTGTGCACATATTGGTGTGTGTAGGTCAGAGGTCAATGTCGAGTGTTTTTCCAATTACCTCATACTTCATTTTAATTGTGTGTGTGCGTGCGTGCGTGCGTGCCACGTGTGTAGTGTCCTCGGGGACCAGAAGGGTTGCGAACCCTGACATGGGTGCTGGGAACTGAATTTGGGTCCTCTGGAATACAAGTAACTGCTGAGCCATCTCTCCATCCCCATCCTACCTTCTATTTTGAGACAAGGTCTCTTATGGAACCAGGAGCTTCCTGGTTTGACTAGATTGGCTATGCAGCAAACTCCAGGGATCCTCCTGTCTGTGCCTCAGCAACACTAAGATTACAGGTACACGCCCCAGGACATGCTCTGTTTTCCTTATGTGAATGCTGGGGTATTGAATCCTGCCCTTTAGAGCCATCTCCCCAGCCTGTTTTTGTTTGTTGTTTTGCTTTTCAGTTGGTTGGTTGGACTTTTTGTTGTTGTTGTTTGTTTTGTTTTAGTCAAGGACTCCTGCAGCCCAGGCTGGCCCTAAATTCACTCTGTAGCGGAGGAAGGCCTTTAATTTCTAGTCCTCCTGCCTCTGGGATTACAGGTGTGTACCACCACACCCAGTTTTATGCGGCTCTGGGAACTGAATCCACACGGATCATGCATTTCAGGCAAGCACTCTACAAACTGAGCTACATTCCTAGCCTGTGAATTACAGAAATTGTCAACGTGAATCTAATGACTGCTAAAATGAGCCATCCAGGATGGAAGCAGGAGCTGGGGGCTCCGAAATGCCTACTTTCTGTGGAACTCTGTCCTACATTTCTGTGGCTGGTCACTCAAAGCGCTGCAGCACAATGTCATCATGAACACAGAAGGGCTGTGAGCTACAATCGGGCATCGGAGTTTGTGCCTGAGAATGTGAAACAGTAGAGGATAACACCTTACAGTATCCAAAGCATCACTGAACCTTTGAGCCTTGCTCTGTGTCCTTGCCTAAGTCAGTCTCCTTCTCCGGTGGTCCATTCCCTGGTTAGAACACTCTATCAAGCCTCCCTCCTGGGGACAGGATGAAGGAGGAGGGTGGGAGTATCACATACCCAAGGGGCTCTGGAAGTGCAGAAGACCCCAGAGGGAACCTAGAGGGGAAGTGGGCACCTTATCAGAAGAAATCGTAATAACTGAGCTTTCACAAATAAGAGATAAAGGGGCTGTTATTTTTAGAAAAGAATTCACGTGGGCATTTGCAGCCTCCTTCCTGCTGCACAGACTGAACAGAATGTGGGTCATGAAGAAAAGCGGTTACCCTTGGAGTTAACTGGCGGGCAGTGTTCATTAGAGGACAAGCCCTGTGGAATTCCACAGCCACCTTCTCCTCTCACAAAGGTGACCTCTCCAAGGCCTGGCACAATCTCCCCCTCGACCTTTTTATTCTGCCTATCCTTGGAAAAGAGTCCGATGAGACACACCTCTCTCTAGTATCCTTCAGGGCTCATTCTAGGTGGTTCCAGGAGATGATAAAATTCTTAAGATCCCATTTAGTCATCTTAGTCTGTCTCAGGAGAAACCAACATCCAAAGACTGAAGGATGATCTCATCAGGAAGGTCAGGCCAAGCTCGCCCTGGACACTCTGAAAGCGCCATATCTTGCCCAAAGCTTTGGTCCGTAGACTGGCTCTTAACGCTTCCCAAACAACAAGGTTGCCTGGGCACAGAAAGAGGTCCTGTTTGCTTCTGTTCTTTATTTTTTTTTTTTCATGTTAGCACAAAAGAATTGCTAAAAGGTCGTATATGATAACACAATAACAACAACAGCCTTGTTGTTGAAAAATTGGGGAACATGTAACTATTGCTTAATAAATGTAATTAAATTAGAAGAAAAATTTTCAACTAGCTACAGCAGTTCTCCACTAACCACGGGGTTCATTCCAAAACCCAAAGTGTAGGCCTGAAATTGCAGATAGCACCAGACATGTTCTCTGTGTTGTGTAAGCATATACTGGGTATTTTTTTCTATTTATAGCTATGGCCAAATTTAATTTATAGATGAAGACAATAACCAGTAATAAAAAAAGAGAAGTTCTAGGGGCTGGAGAGATGGCTCAGAGGTTAAGAGCACTGACTGCCCTTCCAGAGGTCCTGAGTTCAATTCCCAGCAACCACATGGTGGCTCACAACCATCTGTAATGGGATCCGGTGCCCTCTTCTGGCCTGTAGGCATACATGAAGACAGAACACTGTATACACAATAAATAAATATATATAAAAAAAGATTTTTTAAAAAGAGAAGTTCTAATAATACACTGTAATGAACTTTATCTAAAGGCTATGAATTTGTGTGTGTGTTTACATTGTGTATATAGTATATGTACCAGTGTATGTGTGCAAGTGTATGCCCTGAATGCTCATACCCATGTGTGTGCACGTGTAGAGTCCAGAGAAAGAGGCTGGATGTCTTCTTCTAGTGCTCTCCTTTTATTCCCTTGAGACAGGGTCTCTTACTGATCCTGAAGCTCATCATTTCATGTACACCAGCTCCACGGATTCATCTGTCTGCCTTTCAACGCTGAGCTCACAGGCACATGGAGCATGTCCTGCTTTTGCATGAGTGTTGGGGACCTGAACTCAGGGCTTCGTGCTTGCAGAGCAAGTGTTCCTACCCACTGGGCCATCTCCCGAGCTCTTCATGAAACAATAGCTTCTGGTAACTGAAACCACAGCTGAAAGGGAAACAGCAGACACATGGGACTACTGTGTGTGGCCTTTCTTTAGAAGGATCATCCATCTTTGTTGATCAGAAGGTCTAGGCTCTGCTTGCTGCCTGGCCTTCAACTAATCTGCTTTGTGCTCGTGTGTGTGTGTGTGTGTGTGTGTGTGTGTGTGTGTGTGTACGTGCACTAGAGGTCAGAGGACAACCTGAAACACTCTGTTCTCCCCTTCTATCATGTGGGTTCCAGGAATCAAATTCAGGCTGTCAGATTTGATAGCAAGTACCCTCACTGGCTGAGCCATCTTACTGGCTCTTAAAACTCCTTGAGTGCAGAATTTTTAAAAATTCTGTATGTTCAACAGTCCCCGAATGTTCTAGGTATCAGCATATCATTAAATACCTATGGATTTTGCTTTTGTAGGTTTTATATTTTGGTTTGTTTTTTGTATCTATGTGTTCAACTCACCTCAGGTCAGGATAATGCCCTTTTCAACATCAAAAGTTTACATAAATATATTAACTTTTCACTAATATATTTTCTGTCTATCCTCCATTTTATTTCTATGTCCCTCCAGTCAGGCTGACAGGGCAGACAGAACATGGGGATGTTATCTAAATGAACCATGCCACACATGCTAAGCCTCTCAGGGAGTCTCTAGAAACTCAATAAAATCTGGAGCCCCCTGACTCCTGGCCAAGTGCTCACTCACTCCCCTGTGGTCCCCATCTTTCTGTGCTGCTTGATAACTCCCCATTGGTCCCCATTGCCCTGTGTCTTGCTGTCATTTCCCTTTGGTCTCCATCACCCTGTGTTACGAGTAGCAAGAGCTCCTTGTTCGTAAGGCATCCCGAAGCCTGGAAATATGCAGGATTACAGGGAAACATTACCTCGTGGTTAGCAAACCGGATATCCCGAGAGAATATGGTGGCCACCCAGTCACACCCTAGCTTGACGTCGATGTTCTGGGCGAGTTTCTCTAGAGTGGGTAGGTGACTGGCTTGGAAGTGGTATGCCAGGGTCACATGTAGCTGTTTCTTATGAGGCTCCACATGAACTTCTGGAAAAAGGAAGGTAGTGTTTGGGGATTAGAACGAAGACAATATAGCAATGGAGGAGACAGAAGAAAGGGCACAGAAAGGTGCCCTGAGATGCCCTGTTCTCCAAGTGACAAAGAAGGGAGACTCTGGAGGGGCAGCAGAGAATTAAAGGAGTGGATCCCAGACCCCGAATCAACCCATTGTTCCAGAGATAAAAAGCCACACAACAGATGGCTTTTCTGCAGGAGCCGTGGATGGGCTCTGGTTAATCTTTTTGGATGACTTCTCCTGACAGGTCCAGGGTTCATCATCAGCCCCACCATTCAGATGAAGAAAACAGAGACCTAAAGGGCAACATGATTGATGTGGAAATCCAAAGCGGGCTTTATAACGGTGTGACTGCTGGAGCTATGTTGTCTTATCTGGGACCAGGTTTCCTGGATTCTGGGGAAATGAGGAGGGTGGAGGCAACACTTGAAGTATACAGTAGGTTCCCCCCAAACACTTATGTGAATAGTTATTTGTGGGAAGCTGTTCTTGCAGTACAGAATGTTGTGGCCTCCCCTGCTTTTATCCACTAGATGCCAGGAGAATTCCCAAGATCACAGCAACCCAAAAGAACTCTCCACATCGGCAAATGTTCCCTCAGGGTGACATTGCTCTGGGTTGGGGTCATTTGAAGTATGCATACCATTATTCTAAAATGTTAAAAATAAAGCAGAACCAATCTACCAATATGAGGGATGAGTTTCATCTCCTCTTTGTATGTTACATAAGGAAGAACTGTCTGCTTCCCAGGTGAGAACAGTGAAGAACACGCAACAAGAAGAAATTAAGGGACTATAGAGCAGGAAGCTGATCTTTTGGGTTTTGGCCTTTTACTACAGGGTGTTTCTGTGGAGTGAGACCACAAGACGGGTGTTGTATGTTTCACCTATTCACAGTCTGGGACTTCAGTACTTGCTGATGAAATGAATGCACATGGGTGAGTCTTCTTGAGCCACCAAGAATGAAGAATGACACTAAATATACTTTCTGGAGGAATCTGGGTGAACCAGTAATTCTCGACTACTCAGGCTTGAGTTCTAGGGCAAAGACATAATGACCTACTTTCCACAAAGCTAGACCAGCTGTGTCAGGGCCATGCAGTTCTGAAGTTCACCACCAGGGGGCACCACAGAAACAGAGCCATGAAACCACCAAGTTCTTAGTGATCGTAGATTCTTGGAGGGGCACTAGCAGTCTCTTTTCCACATGGAAAACGAGTTCTTTGACTGTCTCTTATCCCATGTGCACTTTAAGAATGGGCCACAGTCCCGCTCCTCTGATTTGTAAAGGATGTGGGGCTTTTGGTGGTTCTTGTAGTGATTTAGTAGGCTGACAACAGCTAGTAGGATTAAGAAAAAAATTCCTTAAGGACAATAGATAAGAAGACAAGTGATTTTTCTCTTTGCTATTCTATCTCTTTGAAATGTTTCATCTCTCCATTGAATTTAGTAAACCCATGGCTGGTCTCTGGGAGAAAGGGGCTCTCAGAAGGGGGTCCCAAGCCACAGGGAATGTCTTAGGGACCCACAGTCCTTCTGAGGGTAGACATGCCCTGTGACCAGCAGCTCTGCGGTTGCTTCTGATTACACTCTTCCTAGAGCCCAAGCTATATGTGGGGTCTTCTCTGAAGAAATGACACACAAGCAATATAAACAGCATTGAGGACTGACACCCTACGGTAAGGTACCACTGAAGGATAGGAGACAAAGGAGTAAATAGGTTCTGTGGCTTGGATCAGAGTCATTCCTAAATGTAAGGCTGGGGTGTTATGGATGCCCCCCAGCTCCTTATTCAGCACTTGGATTCAGGGGCTGGGGATGTAGCTCAACTGAGAGAGCATGCATGAAACCCTGGATTCTATCCCCAGGACTAGGTAAAACCAGATGTGGTGGTGCACAGCTGGAATCCGCGCACCCAGGAGCCAGACACGGGAGGATTAGAAATTCATGGTCCAGCCTTAGTTACATATCAAGTTTGAGGCCAGCCTGGGCTACACGAGACCCTATCTCAAAATAAACTGTATAGTAGAGTGATCCACTGAACCAACACTCTTTAGCTTGATGACTGTTTTTTCATGATTTACTATAAAGTGGTTCCACACCACTATGCCCTGTGCTACAGGACGGACGGTCAGACCCAGACAAAAGCACTCATGGTTGGGAGCTTAGAGGATGAAAGGGAGTTCTCTTAGATCTGGACTGGAGGAGATGGAGACACTACAAAGGGTGACATTTATAGTTCAGTGGGAACAGTTAAGTCCCTGGGAGGCATAGAGCAAGTCATGGGCAGGCTCTTGAGTAGGTTAGCAGGACAGAAAGAAGCCTAACATTTCACAAGGGATGTGGTGTGTGCTTCGCCACAGGGGTCCATTTCCACATGATCCTCCACCTCCGGGCTCCAGCCCTCTTCTCTGCAAAAGTTACCATCTGACCTTCAAAGTCTCCAATTGTCATGCGATGTGGTGTGTGCTTCGCCACAGGGGTCCATTTCCACATGATCCTCCACTTCCGGGCTCCAGCCCTCTTCTCTGCAGAAGTTACCATCTGACCTTCAAAGTCTCCAATTGTCATATGTGGAAGGCTTGGTCACCAACCTGTGGTACCATAGCGAGGAGGTGGAATCTTTAAGGGGTGGATCATATGGGAAGAACTTAGGTTATTGAAGGGGACATTGAGACCCCAACCTCTTGTGCTCAGTCTTGCCTGTTTCCTGGCCTCCTTGAGGTGAGCAGGTTTGTTCTATGC